AAAAAAAAAAAAAGAGGTTCATCTTCTTCAACAAATATGCAGTTGAACCAGATGTGGTTGTTGGCCAAAAAAAAAAAAACAGATGTAGTTGCAACCGACATGATTTTGCCTTCCTTGCAACTAGATCTATGAAGCCCATCCAGTGAACTTGCAAGAGCAAACCGAAGAGGAGAGAGAAATCATTGGAGAGGTAGGGGAGAGAGTCATCGTTGAGAGAGGATGATCGGCCAAAAGAGAGAATGTCACCGGCCGGTGAGAGGCGAATCGGCCAAGAAAGAGAATGTCACCAGTGATAGGAGAATCTGGAAAGAGAAGGTCGTCAGTGATTTGAGATGACGGGAAGCAGAGAGAAGAAGGGTAGATTTAGGAAATTTAATCCAATCCCCCTTTATCCCATGGGTTTGATGGGATTAAATTTATTTAATGAGCAACGGATTGGATAAAATGTTAACGACCACAACCTCCTCATCCTCGCACCAAAAGAATAGGTAGCCAATGGTCTGCCCAACAATGATGGTGAGAAACACGCCTCTGTTGAATGACATGATTGCGAGCATAAAGAGGTATCTGATCGTGGAGTTGACTTCGAAAAGCACGGCCGATTCGACTTTAGCGAGCTTGAAGCGACGGGTTTTGGGGAGAAGAGGGGTGGTGGCGGAGATGGGGTTGGTGGAGGTGAGGGATTTGAAGTAGATTCAGCGATCGTCCATGTATTAGTAGAAGGAGGCAAAGAGGAAGCAGGCGAGTAGGGTGAGGAAATAACTGAGCTAGGAATCGGTACTTCATGAGCCAAAGAGGAGGGTGACTTGTTTGCCCCACTACAAGATCATGTGCATCATCTTCAACGCTGGTTTGAAGACGGACAGAGGGAGGGGCGAGGAAAATGGAGAAGACGTTGGAGCCACGTTAGAGCTAGTTGGATGTCAAATGCCACGCAAGCCATACACTAACGGCGTGACAGAGCTCAGTTAGTGGAGGGGCTAATTTGCTCCTTACGGGGGGTTTGAGGGCTTATCTGCCACTTTTTTAGTTTAGGGGCTTATCACTAGCTGTCGAAAAAGTTGAGAGGCTAAACATGGGTTTTTGCCGATTTTATTTCTATTAAACACCGTGTTGAATACGAAGTTCGACAACCAGGCGGAATTCTCAAATTAGCCCCTCAGCTTTTAGAAAATGTACCGTAAGTGTTACTTTACCATTTCTTTTAGTTGTTTTCTTTTAGTTGTTACAATTAAAGAGGTAACTTACGGAACAACCAAAAATACAATGATTAAGAAAAGTTACCTGGTGTAGCATATAGGATAAATTTCATTTATTAACCTTAAATATGAATTCATTTATAAGTAAGTGTACTTATTTTGTAAATCACACCATTTAGAGTTCAAATTTTAGGGTTAATATTTAAAAAATTATTTTTTAAATGTACTAAATTAATGTGAGAGTGCACTTAAAAAGAGATTAATTTTGAAATATGTGAAAGCTAGACTAAAAACATCCTAACTATAAATACCAAAAATAAACAATAATTAGGGCTTGCAATAAGTTCATTTATCTCTAATAAAATCTTTTCTCCATTGTTGAACAAGTTAAAGTAATTGGGGTAAATTTAGAATAATATCATATAATATTTTTCAAAATTAAATAAAATGTGAAATAATTAAATAAAAACATTCTAATTAAGTATTATAGTGGAGAGACTATTATTATTTACTATAATTTAATTAAACTCATCTCCTAAAATCGGAATGCATACAATTTACAGTGGCAGTACTCACTTGGCATGTTGTTTTATTAATTTTATTACTTCGAATAGGTATATAAAATCTAAACGCTATTACTTAGTCCCGTTTAGTATAACGATTTTGGGGTAACGATTAGCAGTTTCACCTAAATTGCTAAATATAAATGTTTGGTAAATTTATATATTTCGAAACTGTTACAAATAAAGTGTTTGGTAAAATTTTTATTTAGCGATTTAAAATTAACGGATAGCAGTTAGAGTCCAAATCATTAGCGGATTAAAAAAACTATTTTATGTAATTTTTTGTACCAAATCACTAACAGATTAAAATTTTTTAATTTTATTGATAAATTTATCTATTTTAATTTTTTAATTTGTGGTCCCATCTTTTAATTAATAATTATCTAATAATTTTCAATTTTGTTTTTTTACCTTTAATAACATTAAGTGATTATAAAATTTTTTTTGTACATTAATTTATAATTAAAAAAATATTATCTTAAAAAATAAAATTTTTTAATTAGACAAAATGATTAATTTTTTATTTAAAAATAATATAATTTTTTTCTTGAAAATAAAAATGAAGGTATAATTATATTATTATAATTAATTTTATTTATTTATTTATTTTTATTTTTATAAAATTAATAATTTTAATAATAAAAAATAAAAATATTTTAAAAAATATACTTATTTGTTTTTAAACATGTCCTTTTTAGTCATTTAATGTTAAATAACAACCGCTAACTATTATATAACCAAACAGTTATATTTATTGAATCTACTATTTGCCATCTACTACCTACTTTTCACTATCCATCATCCGTTATCCGTTAACCGCCACTCATTATCCGCTATCCGCTGAATTTTAACCGTTGTACCAAATAGGCCCTTAGTATAGGTATTTAAAATCTAAACTCTATATACATATAGAATAATTTATAAATTTGGATGATATTTAACTAACAAATTAATTACATTGTTAAATTGTATCTTCTCTGACGCTCTTACCTTCTAAATTAAAAAGAAGAAGGGTAAAAAAGATCTCTCCCAATCTCTCTCTTCGTTTTCTCATGAGATGATTATAGAAAATGAAATAATATTCATAAATATAGTTGTGATAAATAACAACACTGTTTGATAAAGTTTATATTTTTAGTCTTTTATAAGCAATTTTTATTTTCATAAATTTCAAATTACAATTGTGGGAAAACTTACTTCCTAATATTCTTTGAGGTTCTGCATTAGAGTTCAGAGATGCTCTAATTAGAAAAAAACATACTAGGAAACTCCTGCACTTCATTTACCCGAAAATAAAAATAATAATAAAAAGACAAAGAAAAAGAAGAAATTCTTGTGTAAATAAGATTTGAAGAAAAAATTTTATTTCTTTTAAATAAAGTATTAAATTTATATTTTATAAATGAAAAAATAGATATTAAAAATAATTTTTCTTTAATAAGATCTAATTTAATTTAATTTTAAATTAATTGAAACAAATATAATTACTAACTAACAAGAGTTTAAAAGAAATAAACAAATAGAAGAAGAAGAAGAAGAAAGATCCGAGGACAGAATGGCTGAAAAAGAAAATGAATACCTAAAGAAGCCTCTCTTTAAGTTAAAACACGTGAGCGGCAAAAGGATTCTTACAATAGAAAGCAGACAGACGGTAAGAATATCAATGCTCCAATTAACAAAAAGTAATAAATATATTTCTTTCTTTTGGTACCCCCCTCTGTGATTTGCAAATTCCAAGGAGGGAAGAAGCTAGCAAAGCAATATCCTATTGTGTTCCTCTGAAACGGAGTGAAGGAATGTTCATCTTCTTTCTCCTCCTGCTAATTTGAACATAGTGGAATACTGAATTCATGGGTGGGGTAACTTCTTCAGTTGCTGCGAAGTTTGCGTTTTTCCCACCCAATCCGCCTTCCTACAAGCTTGTTTCTGACGATGTTACTCGCCTTTTGCTCCTTCACCCTTTCCCTCACCGGGAAAATGTTGACGTCTTGCGCCTTCCTACCCGCCGTGGCACGGAAATTGTTGCTGTCTACGTCAGGTGCCCTATGGCCACCTCCACGCTGCTCTATTCACATGGCAATGCCGCTGATATCGGGCAGATGTATGAACTCTTTATCGAGCTCAGCGTCCACTTGCGTGTGAATCTAATGGGGTAATTACTACACAGCTTCATTCTCTCCCTTTTTTCCAATTTCAACGCTTTCTCTTTGTTGACGCACAGTAGCAGATGGTGATTAAATGATGCCTAGTCGGAATTTAGGGGTATTTTGGTTTTCTTTATAAATCTGTAAGTCATGTTAGGGCATAAAGAGATGTCGGATGGAGATTTGCTTGTGCATGATAAATTATCTCATAAATTTTGGTTACTGTGTAGTATATCTCCGTATTCTGTTCAACAAGAAGTTGGGAAGTGGAATAACTGAGCATCTTTGCGAGTCATATTCGATCCTTTACCTTCAATAGCTATTGACTCCATTGTTGCGTGGGTCTGTGATTTATTTGAAAATGGAGGATGTGGAGGGGATATGGAGAAGCCATTAGTAAATGGTAATTTCTTAATAGCAGATGTGACATATGATATTGAAATAGGATGTATTTTTTCTCCTGTGGGCTGCTTGCCATTGCACTAGGATGGTATAATAAATTTTACTTTTGATTTTAACATAATAATTCAAATCTTATTTTGATTCTGTATGCTTGCCATTAAAGCAGTAATGTCTACAGTTTATTTGTCTGATAATCTTTGTCATATATTATATTCAATTGGTAGTAAATTTGTTTGCAACTCCATCTAATGTCTAATCTGACAAGTTATCCCCTTCTTCTAGACTCGTAGCTGATAACATTTCAGTTGCGTTTTCCTTTTTGTTGATTCACCAAACATATTTTATTTGTAACATTTTATGCACAAATTTATGCAGGTATGACTACTCTGGCTATGGGCAGTCTACGGGAAAGGTAAATGTATAGCATGGATCCTATGCAGTTGCTACTTGGATAAGTTTATCCAACAGCTTCTCTATATGAAGCTAACATGTATGCCTCTTTGCAGCCAAGTGAGCAAAATACTTATGCAGATATTGAAGCAGCATATAAATGTCTTGAAGAAAAGTACAGTGCCAAGCAGGAACATATTATCCTCTATGGTCAGTCTGTTGGAAGTGGTCCAACTTTGGATCTTGCATCACATTTGCCTCGTCTAAGAGCTGTTGTTCTGCATAGCCCTATACTGTCAGGGTTAAGAGTCATGTACCCTGTGAAGCGTACATACTGGTTTGACATTTATAAGGTTAGAAGATTTGTAACCTGTGATATTCTGACTTTCATCAACTCTAATATCTGAACTATTTATAGAGGTCTAAACTGGATTTTCTGCATACCTGCAGAACATTGACAAAATTCCATTGGTACAGTGTCCTGTACTCATAATTCATGTAAGTTTCTGAACTTCAATATTTAGCATTTGTAGTTAAAAAAAAAAAAAAAACAACTGGAGAACTAAGAAGTTTATTGCTAAGACTGTAACCCAGGCTTTAATTTGACTTCAGACTCGTTAAGTCTTTATTGAAATGAGTTTAACTAGGATTGAGCACAAAACACAAATTAAGGAATTAAGGATAACATAATGTTAATGATTTAAAGGAAGTCATGACCCTGGACAAAGATAAATTTCTATATGGGCTGTTTCTGTACATTTTCATGTGTTAATTAGGATTTCAATTTCTGTTGGTAGATTAAAAAGATATAGAAGAGTAGGAATGGGAGAAGTAAATACTTTCAGGATGTCTGTGTTTTGTGAGTTCTATTACATGATGAAAGCTGCTATGTTTGGCTGCACTGATTTTTTTTAACTCATAATGCCTACTGGCGGATTAAGGAAAGACAACATGAACATAAGAAATATGAAAATTAGAAGCATTTTGGTCCATATAAATTTAAAAAGATAATAAGCTCAAAGCTAGGTTTTTTGGGATGAGTCCTTTATTCAAAAGTTATGAGGGTTGAATGAAGGGAATATCTTTTTGGTCTTAAGAGAGTAGGGGTTGTTTTGGGTTCAAATATTGAGATAATTTTTTCCTTGCATTCATTCTTGATGCCTCAACAAGCAGAGGAGGAATACTAAAGTTCAAATTAAAATGATTATCATCCAAGTAGCATTTGTCTTCTAAACTTGAATAAGAACATGATTCAGGTTCAAGAGTAGTAAAGTATTTAGAGTAAGGAAACAACTTAAAAAAATACTTTTCCATTTCTTTGTTTTGCCAACTCTTTGTTCAGTTTTCAATCTTGAATCCCTTCACAATTAGTACTAACAGTTTTTGGTTTGGCATCTGCTATTGTTAGGGAACTAATGATGATGTTGTTGACTGCTCTCATGGCAAGCAACTTTGGGAACTTTGCCAAGAAAAATATGAACCTCTATGGGTCAAAGGTGGACGCCACTGTGATTTGGAACTCTACCCTGAGTATATTAGGCATCTCAAGAAATTTGTATCAACCGTTGAGAAAGCACCTTCACGAAGAAATGATTCTAGGAAAAGTACAGATGGTATGGAACGGTCTAGATGGAGTAATGATTGTTTTGAGGCACCAAGGAGGAGTACAGATCGCAGAGAGAAACCAAGAAAAAGCACTGATAGGCCTGAAAAACTGAAATTTCACGAGTACAAGTTAAACAATAATGACAAGCTGGAAAAGTTAAGACTTTCGTGTGACCTAGTGGGGAGGTCACGAAGAAGTTTGGAATACCAGGAAAAATCTAGGAGAAGCATTGATCAGCAGATGGAAAAAGCACGGAAGAGCGTTGACTGGGTGGATAAAATTCGAGCTGTCTAAAACCTTTGTGAAATTCATCACTGACGTTCTTTTATTGAGGGTTGGGGAAAGTAGAAATTGCGGAAAATGAGAAAATTGTCTGGGATTTAACTTATTGGTTTAGACTTTTTCTTGGTCTTTCAAGTTGCATAAGAACTAACTCATAGATTATAAAGTTTGATATATCTGGATACGTTATCCTTTCATTGTTAATGAAAAACATCTGACCTCTTCGCATTTTACTAAGAACTGAATATTTTATTTGCTCTGTCTCTCACTTTTCGCTTTTCGCTTTTCGCTGCGTCCCGAATCTGAATGTTTTAGACAGTTTCTCCCTTTTCTTTCTTTTATGCAAAGAAGAGGAAATTTTTTTCAGAATTATCAAACTGGAAAGTATGTATCAAAAATATTTCTTATTTTTTAAACGTTAGCAGTGTTTTAATTTGAAAGAAAAAAAATCTTTTCTCCCTTTTTCCCTCTCATCCATCTCTTCCCATTCAAACGTACTCCTAGAGGACACCATTTTGAAATGCTCGCGGAACTTCTATTATGATTTTTTGCCAATTGTAATTACATAAAAGTATTTAGTATAGACAGCACTTCTTCTTTTTTTTGTACAGTTTAAATATTAAAATTATTAAAATACTTTTAATGAAATTATTTTTTTTGTTTATTCATTAATATTGTTTTGATAATTTCAGTATGCAAAATGTACAGAAAAAAGGTATAGTCTATGATTAAAACACCTTTTTCTTGTAATTATTGACCTCTAACTAATAAGAGTTTTTTAATCCTAATGTTAAATTTACTAGTAAGTGTTATTTTGTAAATTAAATTTAGTATTTAAGTCTTAGCCAACATCTAAAAAGATTAATTTCCTTAAATATACCACTCTTAATATCGCCTAAAAAGGAATTAATATTGAGGTGTATAAAAGTCGATCCGAAAACACTCTAACCCTAAATGCCAAAAAAAAAAAAAAAAAAACTAATAAGAGTTTCCTTTCTCTCAAACGACTTCCCTCTTGAGTTTTTGTGTACTTTGTTTATTATCTACAAGGAGTGACTGGTCCCATTATAAGGTACGTTCTTGTTTAGGGCAATTGTTTTCTTCTCTAATCTTATTCAATTTCCTTTTTTTCCTTTTCTTTTAGTTATCCTCTTTTATCAGTGGCTTTTTTCGCCTCAATCTAGTCTCTCTTTGTCCCTCAATCAATTTTGGCAATTGACATGGATGATTGATAGAAATTAAAAACCAAATCTAATGGTTTTAAGGATATGAACTTTTTAAATTTCCAAATCAAGTTATAAACTTTATTTTTATTTTTTGTTTGAGGATTAAACTACGCTATTTTATTCTATTTATTAAAAGTTCATTTTAGTCTCTCTATTAAAACAAAAAGCTCTTATTTAATTCTTTTATTTAAGAAAACTTTTTTTTAGTCTCTAAAGTTTATTATTCAATTCTTTTTTAGTCTTTTCATTATTTTTTTGCACACATGACGCTTAAGATGATACAAATTTTAAAGTAAAGAGATTAACAAGCCTTTTTTTTGGTCTCTTTACTTTAAAAAAAAAAAGGTTTTTAACATTTTTTTATTTAAAGATGCAAAATTTATCAAATCTTAATTAAGATTGTCATTTGTAATTCCATTATTACTATTCAATAAATCTTTAAATAGAAAAAGAAAAAAGTTCACATCATTAAATAAAAAAATTTATAACCTTATTTAGAAAAAAATAAAAGTTTATCACCTACTTTAAAAATTTGAAAGGTTTGTATCCTTAAATAGTTTTAATAGCACAGTTTATAATATTATTAAGACTTTTCTCAATCTTTTGATTTTTCCTCTACTTAAAAACTTCTCACCTTAACTTTTATCCAAACAGAGGACACAAGGGTTCCATTAATCGTTTCTCTTTGGTTCGTGTACAATTTTAGTCTTTGAATTTTCTCGATTGTTGCAAAAATGGTCCTTAAGCTTTTCTTTGTGCCATTTTGGTCCTTCAACTCTTCAATTTGGTTCAAAAATGGTCATTTCGTTAACTCTAACGGTGCCTTTTTTTCATTTTTGGTCCTCAACTTGCATTAGATTGATATTTTAATTCAATACTTCTTAATTTTTTAACTTGGTCCCCAATTTTAGTTTTTCTTCCTGCAATTTCATCTCTCAGCTTTTAAAAATTTTGTAATTCAATCCCCAAATTTCTAATCTCTTGTGATTGAGTTCTATTCTACAAAAACAACTAAGGTTAGGTTAATCCAATAAAACCACATTTAATTAGATAAATTAGAAAAAAAATTATTATAAAATTAGTTAAAATTTTATAACTTTGTTTATTGAAATAAAATTCAAAATAAAACTTTTAATTAAATTTTTGGAAAGAAATTAAAAAATAAAAAAGAAAAATAAATATAATTACTTTAAATTTATCGAATCGGAAGAATTAAAACACCAGGGATTTCGAGGGTTTTGCCACCCTACTTCCCATCTCTTCTAGTAATTTTTATCTAAACAATAGGAAAGCGAGAGTCCCCTCACTTTCCTCTTCTTCCCTCGTTCTCCTTCAATCCAAAGAAAGGGTTACTGATAAAGTGGAAATCAAGTGGGTGCCAAATTTCAGCTGTCCTAGTACGTCGTGTAATTTTAACTAAAATGATGATCAATGTTGTTAGTCGCAAGAGGATATAGCGAGAGAGGCACTGCGGAAGCGCATTTTCTTGATCGGAGAAGGAGGTCATGCTCCTGCCATTGCCCATCATACCTCAGGTCTTTACCACAAACTTCTTCTTACTTTTCGCTATTTCAATTGTTTGTAATGTATGCAATCGCAGGAATATTGATTGTTTGGTGAATTGTAGAGTTTATATAGTTGCAATTTTGAATTAAGAGGTTTAAATTTAGCAATTTAAAAACAGTGGATTTGATTCTCAACTGACTCTGGCATTGTTGCAGTCAATAACGTGTGCTTTTCACTATTTAGTTTATGGGTATTTGGAGAATGCATTCTGAAGGGTTAAAGATTTTTTTTTTTCTTAGATAGAAAGAGTTATAGATTCCAGGGCAAAAATGCTGTTTACTCGACTAAACAGAATCATCTTTTCCAGCTATTATTAGGCTGCCATATTCTCTTCACTTTTGTATCTTCAGAATAAAACAATTTTTCTGCTGGCTGCTATAGATTAGGATTTCTGATGTTTCCTTCTTTTCCGATTTCTTTGTCTTTTTGCCTTCTTTAATTTCTTGAATATTTTTATTTCTAGTTTCTAGTTGTCTTTTCTCAAAGGGCTCTGCATGGAAGGAGAAAGTAGAAAATATGGAAAGTGTAACTTCATTAGTTGTTATAAAGCACCATCTGGATTATCTGAGCTCCTAGTGGTGGAAGTAGCCAAGAGGATTGAAATCTTCATTACAAGAGAAAGAAGTGGTAATTATTGATTAGGAACATGAACTAAAACCAGGCTTCTTCTGTTTCTCTATCTTTTAGTTAGATAACAATCAAATTCCTTATGTGGTGGGGGAGGTGGTTTAAATTTTGAGTATCTACAAGAATAACTGATGTAAGATTACTACTGCAGGATGAATGCTTGCAGTTAAAGTCATATTTCGAAGACAAGACTAAAGCACTAGAAAAGATGACTGTTAAAGCTAAAATTGTGGACACTGAAAATAAGATGCTAATGGATCTTTGGATGTTGAAAAAGATGAAGGATGAGGAATGGCCTTATGAGGTAGGCTATATTATTACTATAGTTGCCTGTGATACAGTTACTTCGAACAAGGCATTCTGTGGTTGGCTGTTATTATTACTATAGTTGCCTGTGATATTACGGTTGCCTTGGTTCTGTTCTTGATCTTGTTATCACACATTATAATAGATCTGTCATAGGCAGCTGCAAGCATGCAGCTCAAACAATTTTTTTGTATGGGGTGTTGTGAATTCATCATACTTTCACTTCAAAGGTCACACAAGGTTTGTGCTGTAGATGTGAGCAAAATTTCAAGCCATCATGTTGCAAGTGCAGCTTATGATCGTGCTATAAAAGTGTGAGATTTGCATAAGGATTATAAATTTTTTACAGTGACTCCAATGCTCTATCTATGCTGGATTTGCAGATGGGTTATTACATTAACATAATTAATTTTCACTGCAACTGCAATGCTCTATATATGCTGGATTTGCAGAAGAGTTATTGCATTAACACGATTAATTTTCATAGCAACTGCAATGCTGAGTAGAGAAGCTGTTCCATCTTTCTTTATCTTGAAATGTTAGTGTTATATTGACTAGTGGAACAGACAATTTGCACATTTTATTTGATGTGTGATCTTTGGAAATTTGTGGCACATTGAGAGCAACAGGAAATAGTGGCATAAAATTGGAGCAGATTGTGTATCAGTCCAGATGATATACTTGATCAGTATCTATAGCTAATATAGTAAACACCATAAAGGAGCATGCTGCTCCTTTCTTGTAGTGTTCATGGAGTGGACTTGGAAAACAACTGGCCTCTACTGACAAGAAAGGGATTGCTTGTATCTGAACTCAATCAGCCATCTGTAAATGTGTAAATATGGTAGATTGGCATTCAAGTTTGGTTTCTTCTTCCGTTCATTGCTCATATTCTGGCCCATTATTTAGTCAACTAGCCATGAAGCATGAAACATTGTTAGCATTCGCTCTAGAGAAGTTTTGTACACAAGGGACATGACCAATTGATTTCTTTAAAATAGGGATAGCCTGTGTGGGGGAGTTGACTAACATCTCAAAAGAGAAGTTGAGGTAGAATGATAAGTTGCCACTCTATAATTCAAGCCCTTCTCTATAATTTTCTACTTGATGAAAGGAAGATTTTTCTCTGCTTCTTGATTAGTAGAATAGCCATTGGATAATTCGTTGTTTGTTGTTATTGTTGTTTGTCTATGTGACTTAAATCTTTGATTCCTCATAGTGGCAGCTGGTTGTATTTGTATGACACAAAGCAATGGGCAAGTAATGTGAATCTTATTTGAGGCATATCTCCCCATTGTCACATTTGTGCAGATGCTTTTGATTCCTGGATCAAGTATGTCTTTGAGGTATCCCTATAAATTGTTCAATGCTGAGCACTGACTTACCACAAAAGTTTCCATTATCCCTCCGTGTTATTCTGATTATCCTCTTTCCCTTGTTGAAAGATACAGTTATCCAGACAGATGAGAATTGCCGTACTATACATTCCTTTCTATCATTAGATGGTTGGCCTTCCAGCCTGGTTCTTCTCTGTTCTGTATTCTTCTTGCTTGTTGCTTCGAATTGCGTAACTTAACCTTCTTTTCAGGGCATTTCTTGGAGTTACCATGTATAGATTTCTTCATTGGTTCTTGGAGATACACTTACTTGGTGCATAATCCTGCATTTATTACCTGTCTCTTCTGCTTCAAGCACACAATAACACTTGTATGAAGGTTAGATTACCGTATCACATGCCCTAATCTGTTAATTAGGTTAAGTTTATGTGGGCAATTACGTTGGAGATAAAGAAAACCTTCCTTGTAGAAGAATTCTCCCTGTTTTAAATGTAGGTAATAATTGATACTGGAGAGCAGAGAGTCTTCCCCAAAAGCCTCAACTTCTCGTGTGAAATTTTATAATAAGAAGCAGAATGAACCATCTTTTATACAGGACCAATAGAGCGGGCATAAACGTTTATTTGGTTTCTTGCCCAAATAAGGCACGTCATCTTCTCTCTGTCACTGTTTAGTTATTTATTTATGGTTATAAAAATAAAAAACAAAAAATAATACTATACGATTGAGCTCTTGATCCTAACAAAAAGGAATAGTCTTTGTTGCTTGAAAACTGGATTACCTGTGAATTGAAATTTGAAAATGAGTTGAAACTAGTAACAGGAATCCATCCAGGTTGGGTCTTTTCTTGCATGTTCCAAATTTCTAATTAGCGCACGCTAGTAGTCCTCTTGCAAGCAATGTTTCCCTTGATTCTCGAATCTTCATGGTATTAGTAGTTGACTTTAAGAGAATCACAATTATAGAATGATTGCTTCTGCCTTTTGATAATATTCAAAAAGAGATGAATTTTATTTCTCCGCACATAATGTTCGAAACGGAAATGTTATGATTATAATTTTATATAAAATTGTAAATTATAAATTTATAATTATAAC